CACACACACACACACACACACCACATATATACATAAAGGTGGGCCAAAAAAAAATTTATTTTGAAAATCGATTAGTAACACCTCTCAAAAGTTAACTATGGATCTCAATATGGTCTGGGTGAAATTTTATCAAAATCGATTAATATCTTCAGATTGCTCCCGACTTTGAAATTAGTAATTTTATGCATTTCTTGCAAATTATATATTTTTTTAAAACAACTGTGTGTTTTTATTACACCAATCGATTCATCTTATTATTTTGTGCCTAAAAATATTAGGAACCATTATCAAGAAATAAATAGTTTACGAGATATTTCATATTATATATCGAAATAAGGCATGATAAAATATAAAATGTCTCATAAAATATTGATTTTTCGATAACTTTATCTTAATATTTTTATGTAGAATAATTAGAGGAATCTTATTATGTAAAAAAAAATACAATTTTATTTAGAAAAATCGATCTGATCTTAATGACGCTACCCAAAATAAAATCAATGATACTTTCTTAAGTCCCCCTCCGAACCATACAATTCTTATTTAAAATATTTTTCGTATCTATCGTATTTTTCTAGAAATTTTAATGTATTATTTAAGAATATATTTCGGATCCGTCATTTTGAAATGTATACTGCTGACCTCGAATTCGCATTCAGCGACCAAAAAACAACAGGTAAATACCAAACTGTATTGAAATTCAAATATTTTTTTCGAATTTTGACACATCTATGAAGAAAAGCATAAACTTACCTATTGCAAGGAGCAATCTGAAGATATTAATCGATTTCAATGAAATTTTACCCAGATCATATTGAGGTTCATATTTAACTTTTGGGGGGGTATTACTAATCGATTTAAAAAAAAAATTTTTTTTGTTTACCCCAATTTACATTGTGTATGTGTGTGCGTTTGCGTGTGCGTTGCGTGTGCGTTTGCGTGTGCGTGTGCGTGTGCGTGTGCGTGTGTGTGTGTGTGTGTGTGTGTTTTATGTATTTATGTATTTTATATATATGTACATATTATGCAAAAGTATATAAAATTAATAATTATACAAAATATTATACAAAAAAATATATACACACACATATCTATATCATATCTATATACAATATATTTATATATATGTTTATATTGTGTGTTACATATTATATATTATTATTTATTGATATATTTATGTCTATCATTAACCAATTTATTAATTGAAGATAATATTTGTGCAGAAAAATTTTTTATGACATACGGCAAATCGTTCCAGGGGCTCAGCGATTGCGAAGATCGTCGGAGCAAATGTCATGAAGTACAACAACATATTTGAGACTCGTGTGACAATGTACGTATACGAGGAGATTATCAACAACGAAAAATTAACCAGTATAATCAACACTATCCACGAGAACGTTAAATATTTGCCTGGGCATAAAATTCCGGAAAATGTGGTAAGTACCTCGAATATATTCTTTTTATTTACAATCGATATACGAAATATATCAATTATTAAGACAATATTTTTTTAGAAAAGGCATATTTAAAGGTTTAATTAATAATTATCAAAGCTATCGAGTGCAATTTTTATTAGAAAAAAACTTTGCCGTTACAATTTTTCTTCAAATCTCGCATTGAGATTTCAATGTGCTGGATTAAAGCTACTCGGAAATTCTGATTGAAGCAAGTAGAAATTAACATATAGCGTAAACAAAATGTTTTCACAATTAGTAATTAGTGGTAGTGCGGACGTAGACCTTTCCGGATGGCATAGATACACGATCGACTCCTCCTGGGAAGAGTTTCGGAATATCCTCCTCCTTCACTGTTGGCAGGATCATTACTTTCTCACCAGGCTGTAATATCATTCGCATAATTAAATTGGATAAAAGTTTATTTTGCCGTTGTCATTGAATTAAGTTAATCACGAAAATTGAATCAGATACTATCACAAATAGCACGCAACGAAAGAAATAAAGGTGAGACTCACCACCCAATTGGCGGGAGTTGCAATCTCCGGCCTTCTGTCGACGAGCTGCAGCGAATCGATCACACGCAATATTTCGCTGAAACGATATAATAACATGGATTAATATAATGAATTTAAATTAACACATATTCGGTATGTGTTAATTTAATTTTGGGAATGCAAAATTCTGAAACGTTCTCAAACGTGAAGGCTGGTGCAACATCCGGTCAACTTACTCGACGTTGCGTCCGGTCGAGGTTGGATACTGCATGGAAAGTCGTAGTCGATGATCCGGGCTGATAATATACAGAGACCGAACAGTTTCAGCGGTTTTTGGATCGTTCTTGCTCTGTTCGTCGATCATGTCTAGCTGAACGGCGAGCTTACGGTCAGGATCGGCAATTATGGGATATGGGAAAGCGCCAGGGATGTCCTTGCAGTACGACTTAATGTCCTGCGATGATAAAAATTAGGAATTACAATAATTGGAAAATTAATTATGAATAAAACTAGTCAAAATTAATTAAAAAAGAAATAGAAGAGCACAAGGATTTCGAGGTCAAACGAATAACATTGAATGTGAAATTCAAGGATATTTACATTGACCCAGTCTACATGGTCCTTGAGTTTGTCAACGGAATGAGCTAGCATCTTAGTGTTGCGCTTTTCGAAATACGGCTGATGTACCGCGATGCGACCCAGTTCTGTGGTACACACAGGAGTAAAGTCCGCAGGATGGGAGAATAGGACCACCCATCTGTGAAAGAAACAATCATTAAGCAAATGAGATATATTCAAAAATTGATATTATAAATGTATCAAATTAAAAGTATGATAATTATCACTTACACACACACACGCAAGCACGCACGCACGCACACACACACACATTAAAAATATAAATTTTTTTTACATTTTCTTAAAATTATACGTAATATTATAATTATATTATTATAATATAATTATTGAGATTAATATTAAAATATAAATTTTATATTTAAAATATATTATAAAAATAGATAAAAAATATAAAAATATACATATGTATACATATATAAAAGTGTTTATAATAGAAGAGTATTAAATTCATAAAATTGGAAACTTAGTGATATAAAATCAAAACTCAAATAAAATTAATTCTACATGATGTTAATTTCAGAACTTTGAGCGATAGCTAAATATATCACTCAATATGTATCCTCGTTGACAAGTGCCGTAATCTTCTGTTACGGCACTTATCAGAAATACAATGATATAACCGGTCACGTGATTACCCTGAGTGCGACACTTTCAACTACAGGCACTTACTCGTTTTGGCTTCGTACCAAGGGTATATAGACCCCGTTGTTGCAAATACATTTATTTCAGTTCACGGTCACCCTTCGACTCTTCAATGCAAATCGCCGAGTAAGCCGTTTACAATTCATGCGTATCACACTTGCAATGCTTTTAAAAAAAAATTATTCTCTTTTTTATAAATACTTTTAAACAATATTTATTCACTATGCGTTAATTGCGTGAATTATTTCAATCAATTAATTTAATGATTAAATTTCAATAAATTTATTTAGCGATTATATTGATATAAAAAGTGATTAAATTAATAACCTTGATAACGAAATTATTGTTTGTATGAAATTAATAATAAGTTTCTTACATATAATAATCCTGAATTTTTCTTAAAATCCTTAAAATAATTTTTCCAAATTTCTATATAAATTTCAAAATTTTTCACAATTTCTATACATTTTAACTTTTTAGAAAAGTTTCTTTAATTTTTTACGAATTGAAACATTTTTCAGAAATTAAGAGTCTACACTTTTCTGAAATTTTTTACATAAATGAATTTTGAAATATTCTAAAACTTCTTGTTTTAGTTAAAAAAAATTATATATAAAAATCTAAAAAAGTTTAATTAGATCTTTTTAGAAGTCTTCATAAATTTAAATAAAAAATTCTTAAAAATATGAGATATGAGAATTTTTCTCACCAGGGAAACAATCCATAATATAATTAATAATTCATAATCATAATAAAAGAAAACATAAGATTATATAATTTATTATGTATAAAAATATTATATATATATTTTTTAATTCTCTCAGAATTAATTAATTGTTTATTAATAACTGTTCAAAAATTTCCAGTAACTAAGAATTGCTTCTAACAGGTTGTTCCTCAACAACCTGTCACTGATGTTTGTTACGATGAAGAGATCTATTCTTAGATCGTGCTGCGGATAATACGTAGTGGACAAATGCAAATTCAGCTGTTTACTATTCGCGCCATTCTAAGATAATGCATTTCGCAATCCTCGCACATATTTGTCAGTGGATGATTATTACGAAAAAATAAACTCGATAAGATTTCTCGTGCAACCGAAATTGGTTTTGCAATCAGCAGCTTGTTATCTCACATTTTCTTTAATTTTTTCATATTTAGCGCGATGCAAACTTTTACATTGAACTTGATTTCATATATGGTTAATAGTGAAAGACGAAGTCAAGTTCATGATTATGATTAACGATGATTAAACGATTGATACGATGATTGAACGTTTCACAGAGGACTTTTCTATTTCCGCCACGTTCTCAGAATATTTTTAAGAGAGTTTGAAAATTAAAATACTTGAAAGAGACGGTGAAATAATTAAGTAAATGGGGTAATATTATAATATGTCACTTTTTTAAGTTAATATAGTTAATTTATTATTTAAACGTATATTATATATTATTAAATAAACGTATATTATAAACGTAATAAATATAGTACATGTATTACATGTAATATATGTATTATATGTATTTTATGTATTATATGTAATATATGCGACTTACGAATTGCCTTGCCATTCGTAAAAGTCGATGGGACCTTGCGTGGTATCGGCTTTAAAATTCGGTACGATAGTGTTAAGTCTCATTATCGCTGTGTCCTTGACTACTTGATGGAGGAATTACTCGTACCGCAATCGTCTGTCTCGATGGAAGGTTTGCCGAGCACTGATGAGAGTTGATCTGGACGAGCTACATTGTACACTTGTCCACACGCTTTATATACGGCGTCCAGATCGTTTCTATAACATGATGTAAACGTTACATACAAGTTAGATATCGTATCTTCATATCGATACTACTGATACCGGATGTTTGGATGAGTAAACATTGATATTGTTTCGAATAAAATCAATTTTTTTTCAAAATTAAACTGGAAAGTCTAAGCAAGAAGCAATTCTAATCTAAAAAATTAAAGATATTCTGGAAAATAACTATAATACAAAAATAATTGTAATGTCATCGGATTATGTCATCAGATGATCATTATCATCGAGTACCGATATCTGAATTTAAGTAATATATCTTTAAACGCAATCAGCAATGAAATCAGCTTTTTGTTCTTTTTATTGTAATAAGATAGTCCAGCCGAATTGAGATAGTCAGACGAAAAGAGATCAGTCTTTTCATTAATTCGGTCACATCAGTTTTTTTAATTTTTTTCAAAAAATTTTCTTGTATAGCTAGATAAATTAAGAATAATTTTATTGAACCATTAAAATGATGTAGGACGTTAAAACATGATGAGCAATAATGCTGTAAAAAGTTTTGATATTCTAGCAATCAATTTTAGCGTTCTATATAATTATTTTGATGGTCCAAAAAATTATTTTCAAATTTATATCTAACTAAATTTTCAGATACTTTAGCAAAATCATTCTTCTATGTATATTTGTTGCGCGTTTTCTGCAAAAGCAACATAATTGATTATAAAAGAAATAAATCGCAGAGTGTAACAAAACTCTAATTTTTCAACAGTAAGAAAATAGAAAGATATGTATATATTCCAACTTTTGCTTAATCTCTTTATAATCTCTTTATAATCTATCGCATTATTTTTTACAAAAATGCAGGTATCTCAAATTCTCTAATAAATTTTCTGGATATTCTTTCAGGTTGCCGTGCCCGATGTTGTGGAAGCAGCGAAGGATGCAGACATTCTCATCTTCGTTTTGCCACATCAGTTTATTCGTACGTTGTGCTCGACACTGCTGGATAACATAAAACCAACTGCTGTTGGCCTTTCTCTTATTAAGGTATGTTTTAGCTCGTTTTCTTTATCCTAACTCTTATTGTTAGATTAAGTTACCGAGTTTAAATTGAAGGGTTTCGGCCGAGGCGAAGGAAACAATATCGAGTTGATCTCCAAGATCATCGAAAAGCATCTAAGAATACAGTGCAGCGTTCTGATGGGTGCCAACCTGGCCAATGAGGTTGCTGAAGAGAAATTTTGCGAAACCACAATAGGTAAGTATTTCTTTGCATTCAAGAATATATGGAATGTGGATCTTTTCTGGATTCTCTATTTTAACTTTATACAAACAGCGCAATTTTTACAATTTTATCTTGGCGAAAATTTTTTTTAGAATTCTTAATATAATTAATAAGGTTTTCTAACACAAATAGAAACATTTATTTTTTATTAAAGTGCCGATTACAAAAATGACAATAAAAAAGCTTCATAACGTTACATTTTTTTTAAAATTGATATGTTTTAGTTTGTAAAAAGTGACTGATAACTCGTTTTCTTTCTTTAATGTGCTTTTTTTTATAAATGGCATTTGCTCTTTGTAATTAGTAACAATGGTACATATATAGTATTTTTATTTTCATGGAATATAGAAAAGTGTCAGTTTTAAAATGTCAATGTTTACTATCATTAAGGCGATGCTGGAAGGTCCGAAATACCGACATATTGCAATTCAATAAATTTTTCCGAATTGGCTGAACGGAATTGAAAATCCTTTCACAGTTGAAATAGACATGAAATGGTGGTGTTAGACGGTCGAATTTGTAGTAAAATCGGAAAATAATTAAAAAATTACATTTTTTCGGGTCGTACAGCTGACACCTAACCATAACCTGACGTAAACACATTTCATTAGTGTAAAAGTTTTGTAGCTTATATGTACAAAATACTTATGTCTAACACCACAGATTACATGAACGAATAATACAAAGCCTTTTGAGCTACGATTGAAAGCGTAGAAAAAAAGATATCCACTGAACTGCAATTTGTGGTAATTTGTACGC